CCCCACCGCGGTGCGGGGCACGGGCCTGGGCGCGGGGCCGGGCGCGGTGTCACTGCGACCAAAGGCACGGCCCGGACCCGATCCCGGCCCCCGGCTCGACGTGCCCCCGGTGCCGGTGTGAGACACGGAGCCACCGCACGGAGCAGCGGGGGGCGCCGGCGCCCACGGGACTACGGACACCGTGTGGGAGCCCCGGGCACTGGGTCCCTGTTGGGGGGTGGCACCGCGGGGGGCCCCTGCTCAGAGCCGCGAGCCGCCCGCCATGGTCCCCGGGGACACGGGCACCTCATTACAGTCCCCATCCCAGGTGACGGGGCCCTTTTCCCCCCAGCTCCGGCCGCGCTCTCTCCCCGCCGGCCGGTCCCTTGAGGGCTCGTGCCGCTTCCCCGTGTCCCCCGTGGGGCAGGGGACAGTCTTGTCCCTTGTGCACGAACACTCTGGCGAGGGGGGTGAGGCCGAGAACCCCCATGCATGGGGGCCAGGCCGGGAGGCCCCGGCTGCCCCGGCCCACGTGCTGCCAGCACCCGCGGCACCTGCTGCTGCTGAGAATGGGGCCATTCTGCGGGCGGGCGAGACAGGCGCCTTGTGCTGCCGGCCCGGCTGCTCAAAGGCCGGATTGTTCAGGGCCCAGCACCCCCGGTGCCGCGCGCAGCCCGGCCCCCGTGCAGCCCTGTCCAGCCGGTGGTAGTGCCAGCACCAYGGGTCCAGCTGAGCCGGGCCGTGTCCCGGCGGGTGCCGTCCCCACGGTTCAGCAGGACGTTTCTGGTTTTTTGGGGGGTGTTTGGGAGAGTGGCTGCCGGGGAAAGGCTCCCCGCAGAACAGGTAGAGCCAGCGCTCCCACCTGGCGCCCCGCGGCCCTCCCGCCCGTCCCAGCTCCGGGGAAACCCCCGCCGTGCTGCTCTGCCCTGCCGGCAAAGGGCCCCTATGGAGCCTGCAAGTGGTGACACGCATCCTGTGGGGCAGGGGCACCACCGGGTCCCTCTGCAGGCAAAGGGCCCCCATGCACCCACATGTGGTGACACGTGTCCCACAGGGCATGGGTCCCTCTGCGCTTGTGTTTGGTGCTCGGGAGCCCCCAGGAGCCCTTGGAACAGCCATCCCGGCTGCCCCGCACTCCCACAGGGGAGGGGGCACTGAGGGGGCCTGGCCGGGACTGCAGCGCTCCCGGTGCCTAGGACAGGTCCCTGCAGGCCCTGTAGCTGCCGCTCATTCCCCTGAACCACGTGGGACATTCCCAAAATKGATTTCTTTTTTTTTATTATTTTTGTTTATTTTTACAAACATTATTTGCATGGGATGACTCCGAGGGCACTGTCCCCCATGTCACCCATGTCGGGCGGGTGGTTGTGCAACATGGGAATGAGGGGTGTGGGGCCGCCCTCCATCTCATCCCTCTGGATCTGGCTCCTCGGTTCCGCTCTGGGCTCCAGGTCCTTCCCCCCATCTCCTGCATCCTCCCCGCCATGTCCAGCATCTCTGTCCTGATCCCTCCCCACAGCCCCTCTCCTCCAGGTCCCACATCCTGGCCCCTCTCCCCTGCCTCCCCTTCCCAGGCCCCACATCCCAAATTCCAGCCCCTCTCTCTGACCCCCTTCCCAGCTCCCATATCCCACCCCTTTCCCTGCAGCCCCTTTCCCAGCCCCACATCCCAGCCCCTCTCTCCCTCCCCTGGCCCCTCTCCCCATGGACGCCGTCCTGCAGCTCCCATATCCCAGCCCCTCCCCCGGGCCCCCTTTCCCAGCTCCCACATCCCAGTTCCCGCATCCCGCCCCTTTCCCGTATCCCACAGCCCGCATTCCAGTTCCCCCGCCCGCCTCCCGTGGTGCCCCGCGGCGCCGCCCCTCCCGTG